TGAAAGAATCCGTTTAAATGAAGGATAATATCAGACGTATATTATCTCGTTACAATGATGTAGATGAACAGATGCTGGGATATATTCATCATTTAACACGGATTCCTCATTTTTCTGGACTGAATAAAACGTGCATTGAATTTAAGGAAATGCAAACGTGAGACGTCATTTATGTTTGACCCATCAAAATGAATGCGGTCATTTATTTACAGAATCAAAATTTAACATCAAACATTTACATTAATTTGGCAAATTATGAAAATAACAACATAAGCAATCAATCAGGAAAAATCATACGGCCATGATTTTTCCGTTGCTTCACCACAGACATTTATGAAAACTGTACAACTATGATCTTTTACCCACATGAATGTGGGTGAGCATTTTACACAGACATTTCTAAAATATCTGGAAGAATTTCTACTTGATAGAAAAGTTTAAAGATGGAAAGAAGTTTAGAGGGAGTAAGATGGTGTGTGAGGGGAAGTAAGTGTTCACCAGAATCGACACTCTCCATCAGAAACCCAGCTCGCCTCGGTACGCTTGGTAGGAAACTTGACCCATTACCTTTCTGATGATAATCAGCAGATATGGTGTTCCGTTAACGCTACCTGTCCAGCGTCTCCTTAGGATGGCTGTAGCTCGTCAGAAGTAGTGGCGAGTGAAAGTGTTATATTCCCATGGAACTCGGAAGAGCTTGTTGTCATGTCAGGATCATCCACAGAACTGAGCAGAACTGAACAGAACAGAACTTCTCCAGAGCTTCAACAGAACTCGAGCAGAACCAGCAAAAACACTCTCCATCAGAACTGACTAGACCAGGAAGTACTGACATTTTAAAGACTCTTTCCCGGTTCACTTTTGGGATTTGTTCATTGGTCAGAAACGACCAGACGGGGTGTGTTTTGTGACGTAAGAGGTTAGAGACAGCGAGAATTGTTATGAAACAGATCAGAAATGTTCTCACAGACAGAGAGAGTTTTGTTTTGGCGCGTTTCAGAAACAGGTGCCAAAACTTCTCTATTTACGTCTGAGAGGATTCTAAAAACATGACAGTTCGTTCAACAACTTGTTTTTCGTTTGACTCCAACCTTGGAAACGCACACTTGCTCACTCAAAGGCAGAAATCAGAAAATGCATAATTATTCTGTAACAGCTTTGACATGAGAATAAAAATCATTACTCAGTTAATAAAATTGATTAGTTCACTGCAACATCTAAAATGGTTTGAACTAAGACACTTTGATTATCAATATTTGTAAACTAGTAATGATAATAAAAAGAGAGTGTTCTTTTCACTTGAATCTTCAAGAAAGAAAGTCTCAGGATGGGTGAACCTGTATTTCTGAGTTCAAATGAATGAAATGACAGTTCCTGTCCCACAAGGTTCTAAAGGTCAAGAGTTTTGACCTTAGACTTAGTTTTTGACATGGGCCTAGTCCACTACAATGAGTACCATCCCAAAAACACCATCCCTACTGTGAAGCATGGGGGTGGAAGCATCATGCTTTGGGGGTGTTTTTCTGCACAAGAGACAAAACGACTGCACTGTATTAAGGAGAGGATGACCGGGGCCATGTAGTGAGAGATTTTGGGGAACAACCTCCTTCCCTCAGTTAGAACATTGAAGATGAGTCATGGCTGGGTCTTCCAACATGACAATGACCCAAAGCACACAGCCAGGAGAACCAAGGAGTGGCTCCGTAAGAAGCATATGAAGGTTCTGGAGTGGCCTAGCCAGTCTCCAGACCTAAACCCTATAGAAAATCTTTGGAGGGAGCTCAAACTCTGTTTCTCAGCGACTGCCCAGAAACCTGGCTGATCTAGAGAAGATGTGTGTGGAGGAATGGCCAAAAATCTCTGCTGCAGTGAACCTGGTGAAGAACTACAGGAAACCTTTGACCTCTGTAACTGCAAACAAAGATACTGTACCAAATATTAACATTAATTTTCACAGGTGTTCAAATAATTATTTTCAGCAGTAACACACAAATAAATTATTAAAAAATCATACATTGTGATTTCCGGATATTTTTTTTAGATTATGTCTCTCACAGTGGACATGCACCCGAGATGAAAGATTCAGACCCTCCATGATTTCAAAGTGGGAGAACGTGCAAAGTCGCAGGGTGTTCAAATACTTATTTTCCTCACTGTACGTGCCCTCCCTCTGTATGACAGCTAGAGCCGAATTGCCCTACACACAAATCTCTCCCTCTTTGTAGTCCATGGCGTGACCAAGGGTGCACACTTGGAAACGCTCATAAACATCGTAATTCATACGTTCACCTAAGCATGCATATTTAAGGTCGTACTCACATGTGAAGCGTTGTCTGGTCCACCGTTGGCGGCTGGAGTAAAAGTAAGCGTAATGCTTCCGCTTTACCTATAAAGGAAGTGATTATTCCTCCGCCAGCAGATTTAATTATAAATAATTTGACTAAACAAAACAAAAGCTTTAAAAGTAAAGCAGGAAATGAATGTTGGTTGATTTTTGTGACAGCATTGTTTTGTTTTGTTGTTTTATGTGGTAAAATAAGTGATTGTTTGTTGATTTAATTGTGGGCGGGATTAAGGGTTTATAAGAAGAGCCTCTGGCCCTGCAGAGTCAGTCTGGCCTGGTTACAGAAAGGGTAACACTGATATGGAATATTAGAAAAAAAAATGCTCTGAAGAAAGAGAGTTGTAGATATATCCTTTTTTTTTTCCCTCCTACTCTGCATTTTTGTTTTTGGGAAGGTGTGTAAATAAAAATCACAACCATCACACTCTGACATGCCCTCCATGATTTTTTCTTCTTTTTTTTTGGAGTCATGATGAAGTTGCTTATGGTGCCTAGGCCCACCACATGAAGAACCCGCGACAGTAAATAACTTAATAAAAATAAATCTTATATCTTCCTTTCTTTACGTTTTTTTTAAACTATCATATCAAATTAATTTGCTTACAAAATCAGAAAAAGCTTAATAAAAAAAAAAGTATATTTTTCGGGTTCAGCCCTCTAATTACTGAAATCCATTGGGTCTGGGTGGGGTTCGGGTGGGCGGGGGGCACCACGGGCTCGGTCCGGGCCGGGTCGGATTTATTAGTCCCGAATGCAACTCTACCTTGAACCCAACAAGTTTGAGAAGCCCTGCTGTACAGGACGCAGTTGAAAGTGTAATACCAGTAGTTGTTTTGAAGAACCCTCATGACGTGGCACCACCTCCTCTGTCTCCACCTTTACACCACAACTCCTCCATCCTTTATTTACACATGGAACTCTGACGACCTTTGGTCCACTAGGGTTGCTTTTTTAAATGTGGTTTAGAAATAAACTTTAAATGTTTATTTGAATAAATGCAAAAAGGTTTATTTAAATCCGTTATGTGTAAAGTTTTGATCAAATAATTTATAAATATAAATGAGCTTCTTATTTTCCCTGTTCATTAACAGTTTGTTTTGTACACAGAGCTGAAGTGGACATGCAGAAAGAAAAGTCTTTGCTTTGTGCCGTGTTTTTAATTAGCTTGTGTGTGTGTGTGTGTGTGTGTGTGTGTGTGTGTGTGTGTGTGTGTAC